GGGGGCCCCCGGAAGTTTGGGGCTTTTAAAACCCTTTTGGGGGGCCCCTCTGGTGAGCTTCCGCTGCTGCTGCGCACCTCTTTGGGGCTCACTGGCAGCAGCTGCAGCGGCTTGCTGCAGCTGAAAGGAACAAAGAAGAGTCCCCCGATGCAGCAGCAGCAGCAGCAGCAGCAGCAGCAGCAGGCAGCAGCAGCAAAGCAGCAGCAGACTACGAACAGAACGAAGCCAGCCCAGCAGCAGCAGCAGCAGCAGCAGCAGGATGGAGTCTCCCCGAGCTGCTGCGGCTGCATGCAGCAGCAGCAGCAAAGCCGGAGAGACAAAAGGAGACAGCAGGCAGCAGCAGCAGAAAAGAATCCAAAAGCCAAATCCGCAGCAGCAGCAGCAGCAGCAGCAGCAGCAGCAGCAGCGACGAAGAGTTCTTTTTGCTGCAGCTCAAAAACGGAAGCCCAAAAGGACTTGTGTCTCTGGCGCTAACTTTTACAGGTTATTTATTTTTATTTATTTAATTTAATGAATTTAATTAATTTAATTAATTTAATTAATTTAATTAATTAATTATTACTTTTATTTTGTTTATTATCTATTCATTCATCTGTTTATTTATTCATTTGCTGCTGGTGAATTAGCTACTGCGGGTAGACTGCAGCAGGAGGACAAACGCAGCAGCAGCAGCAGCAACACCAGCAGCAGCAGCAGCAGCAGCAGCAGCAGCAGCAGCAGCAGCAGCAGCAGCAGCAACAGCAGCAGCAGCAGCAGCAGCAGCCACAGTCGAAGCTGAATGAAGAGCAAATCTGAAGCAAATTGAAAGAAAAAGAATTAAAATTTAATTTATTATTGTTGTTAGGATTGAGACTTGTGGTTTGTTGCTGCTGCTTTTTTTCATTTTGCTGCTTTCGCTGCTGCTGCTGCTGCTGCTGCTGCTGCTGCTGCTGCTGCTGCTGCTGCTGCTGCTGCTGCTGCTGCTGATGAGGGACTTATGAAGTTCTTGAGAGACAAAAAAGACACTCGAGAAGCTGTTGTGCTTTGCTGCAGCACAGGAGACACAGCAGCAGCAGCAGCAGAAGGTGACATTTTTATTTTTTGGATTTATTTTCTTTTATTTCTTTTTATTTCTTTTATTTCTTTTTATTTCTTTTTATTTCTTTTTATTTCTTTTTATTTCTTTTCATCTTTTTAAATATTTTTAATTCTCTGTTTTTGTGTCTTTTTGCTATTTTGGTGAATCTCAATTCAACAAATCCATCCACTGAGGGTTTAGGGTTTAGGGTTTAGGGTTTAGGGTTTAGGGTTTAATATGTAGGGTTTAGGGTGTGTTGTTTCAGGTTTAGGGTTTAGGGTTTAGGGTTTAGGTTGGGGTTTAGGGTTTGTGTTTGTGTTCCAGGGTTTAAGAATGTTTGTAGTCGAGGGCCTAAACTTTAGGGTTTAGGGTTTAGGGTTTAGGGTTTAGGGTTTAGGGTTTAGGGTTTGGGTGTGTGCAGCATTATCAGTAGAGTCTTCATTTTACTTTTTTATTTTATTTCCAAAAACAACAAATTCAAAAAAGAAAAAATTAATTTCAAAATTAAAATCCAACAAATGCTTTCCAGTTGAAGTCAAAGGTCAGTTTATTATTTATTTATTTTTTATTATTTATTTATTTATTTGTTTATTTATTTATTTATTTATTTATTATTTATTTATTTATTTATTTATTTATTTGTTTGTTTATTTATTTATTTATTTTATTTTATTTATTTCATTTTATTTTATTCCTTTGGTTTTATTTAATTAGATTTTACTTTATTTCAATTCATTTTCGTTTTATTTTTGTTTGAAATTAATTTGAATTATTTGAATTATTTTAATTTTGAATTTAATTCTTTTTATAGTCTTTCAATTTATTTTACTTTTTTTCATTTTGATTTATTTATTTTTATTTTTATTTTTATTTTCATTTAATTCTTTTTTATTTTAATTCTTTTGATTCCTTTAATTCTTCTAATTCTTTTTTATTCTTCTAATTCTTTTCTTTTTTGTCTTTTTTGTTTCTTTTTATTTTTAAATACTTTTATTTCTTTTTATTTTTTTTCAATTTTTCAAATTTTCGTATTTTCTTTTCCTCCTTTCCCTTTATATCTTTTCGTTTCTTTTTTTTGTTCTTTTCTTTTTTGTTTTTGTTTTTTTCTTTTTTTGTTTTTCTTTTTTTCTTTTCTTTTTTCTTTTTGTTTGGTTTCTTTTAATTTTTGTTTTTCTTTTTTATTTCTTTATTTCTTTTTTTTGGAGTTTTCCGTTTCTTTCTTTTCCCATTAACCAGTTAATTAATTGACGGATTATTAAATTATCTAATTAACAAACTATTACCTTTTAATCATTTATTTATTTATTTATTTATTTGTTTAATTAATTAATTAATTATTTATTTATTTATTTATTTATTTATTTATTTATTTATTTATTTATTTTTATTTCTTTTTTTTTAGGAACCTTTTCGGAATGCCAGGCGTTGATTTGTGGGGCCCTT